ATAGTGGTTTACATATGCATATCTTGCTTCGTACTTTCTGTCATTTTGTCATTTGGAGCATTCTTTCAGCTATATTTCAGTTCGGAATACTGCATGGTGTAAGCAATTCTGAACACACTAAAGACGGACTATTTCATTTACTGCATATACTCTCTAAGGACAAACATCTGTGGATTAATATTATTTCTCTTGTGGTGTGGTTTGCTTGCTAGTGGCTGACAAAATTCTCAGACTTACCTTTCAAACTATTTATCATCCTATAGCTATTTCCAGCAGAGTGCCGCTTCTTCAACAGATACTGAGAATTTGGCGATAAGACGGAGTGAAATGAACAATTTACAACGTATATTGATCATTGGAATCATAATGGCTCATCAAATTCTTCTGTGCTTTAGATGATCAATCTTTAATCACCGAACTAAACTTCACCTCATCATGTTTTAAACCGATCCTGTGTTCATGGTCAGAAGGTGGTTGGAGTCAATGAAATCAACCTTATCACTACTGAAAATTCAACGCACAGAAAAAGATAAACTTATTTTTCGCTTGAATCTAGGAGAATAGTCAGTTTGAGGGTGGATGATGCTGGTAGATCAAAGCCTCTGAGGTGCCAGTCGATCGATATGTCTTCTTTCAATGGAAGCAAATTCAACCGTGGGGAGGTGCGATGTCCGCACAATGATTGAGGCTGGTTGTCAGGGTAGGTGAGGTTGTGTGAGGAATGAGAAGATGCTGTGTATACGTGTAGGGGTTCTGGGAGAGGAGATGAGATGGAGGTGGAATCTCCAAATACACACCAACACCATTGGAGACCGTCTCACAGTGAGAATGTATCTCCTCCGTGATCATGACAGCGAGAATCGACCGAAATTTCGGGTTTATTACAACTGTATAGGGCTTCGCAACTGCAAACAACGCAGACCAAATGAGTAAGGAGAATTTATACAAACGACGATAAGAAGTAATTGGGCAGCCTAATGGCCAACAGTTTGCAGACTGCTGCCTTTTCTATGATTTGTTGACTTGTTTCCACAAAGGGTAATCCACGTATTGACAGCAGATGGACACACGAAGTATCAGTTATACGTTATCTGAGCTTCAAGAGAGTGTGGATGTAGCCATCGTGTTGGATACAAAACGGAGAAGAGGATCACGTGTAAGTTCAGATCACTCTCTAATGACGCGAAGCTTCGAGATCGATTGAAAAGCCTCCGAATGAGATACGGCCGGAACACAACTTTAATGATAACAGCTTTACTCCAAACTGGAGTTCAATTCTGAGAATCAGAAGGAAAAAGCTACGAACGACACTTTCATATCATACGTCAGGAAAAGTCGAAGGCATGAACCAACATCACAGGGGAAACCCACTTGGATGAACACTGGGACTCTATGAAGTGACATAGAAGCAAACCGGTATATAGGCACTTTAGTCAAGAAGAATAGGCGAGACGTGCAATGACTGATTACGATCACGTGCAGACTGATAGAGGTGAGAAGGGTGGAGGAGCAGAAGATGAATCAGTGCAGAGATGAGTGGCGGAAGAAAAGCTGAGTACTAAGTCTCAGAGTAAGGACGAGTGTTAGGTGAAACAAAAGAAAATTCTGCAACACATTGAGAACTGAACTGGGACAGATTGCAGGTCAGGGAATCGTCAAATAACCAGACAGCTATCTGGGAATAGGTCAACGCAGTTGGAGCCAGTAAATGATGTTGGTAGAAACCGAAATGTCATCCCTTCGACAAAATGAGAAATATTGAAGGCTATAAAGTTAGTGTAAGTCATGAAATCAATATGACCGTTTGGAATACTGACAGAAGTGCAGAAAACTTAGGCTGAATTCTCAGATGATATTCTCATGTTCACTCAACAGTTTTCTGTTAATCCTACATGCAAAGACTTGTAGACTATAATGCTCTGTGAACTTTACAGTGTGAAGACATGAATAGGATAAAGCTGTCTACTGTCCCCGTTTGTTTTCCTGTGTGTGGTGGCCTGGGTTATGGTAGTCTGCTTTGGGAATGGGTAGGCATATTTTGTAAGATTAGGATTTTGAAGTTGATTCATTTTTAATTGTACACAAGGGCTGAGACATACAAATGAAATCCAATAAGTTGTCAGAAGTATTGCTAACGACAGGATTTCAAATGAATGTGCAGAAAATAGGTGTAATGGAGATACCTGATGCTTAAAAAAGCCTGTTTTACCTACTTTTTTAGGTAGGTAATATCGTTTGAACTACGTGTGTGTGGTGCAAGTTCGAGGACACGTGATCAAAAAATCAAGATATGAATTGACTCTTTTGATGCCAGTGTGTAGATCAAAACTAGTCAGTACAAGGAACAAGATCCTAAGTATTATCATTAGTGTCAAGTATGCGCATCTATGCGGTTCAGAAATATGACAAGCGTGTCACCATTATTATTTCCGAGAGGTCACCTCAGGTTTCTACCAACAGCTGACTTCATTTTGCTCAGTACTTAACATCAGATGGTCGAGAAGAAATGAAAGGCAACAAGGAACCCGCCTACTCGGCGAACCAGACTAGAATCTATTACCCGACCTATGAATTTGTAGAAGAAATTAGAATTGAATTGGAGCCACACTAAGGAGGCATTGAAATGAAATTAGACGCGGCATACTTGGATGAAAATCAACCTTATCGTTATGCTTTTTTATATAACTAAATGTGTCGAGTATATGGAACTTAGTTAGATTTTAGCTAAATAAGATGCCACAGACAAACTAAGACATAAAGTGGCTGGTAAATGCTTTATCCTGCCACGCACTTATCTTTTCATTGACTGAGAATAGGCAGATGACTGCTTCTCATGTATTATTCACCTTGAATAACAGCAAGACCATGGTAGTGCAAATATCTCACTGCTTTAATTATAAAATGCGCTTCAGCATTTTATCTTTTAAATTATATTCGAAAACCCTAAGGCTTGTATCTAGTTTATCTATCTCAGGTTAAATAGACTAAATCAAAACTCATAAATAACATGATAATAATGTCTAATATAAAGGAACATTAAGGCGAATATTAATTTATATGCCAAACAAAAACGAAGAAGTACTATTACTAAGTTATTAAATTTATAAAATTTTGAAGGAAAGCAAATGTAATGTAATTATTACCTGGCGATTTAAAAGTACACAAAATAATAATATGTCATTGATTTATAGTCAGGTTAACTAAAGATGAACCATCAAGCTATTAGCGTCATCTGTAACTAGTGAATTTACCATCATCCATTCTGTCTGCAGAAGATTAGACAATAGACCCCAGCTGCTTCACTAATGTCATATTTTGTTTATTCAGTAATGTTGTGTTTCTTATAATGTGTTTTAATGTCTAAGAAAATAACTGCAGATTACTGCTGTGAGTTCTTTAACCTGTTGTTAGGATACAAAAAGCTTCACCATCGATGAAGAAGCCGTTCGACTTTTTTGTATAATTTTGGCACTATGCATATATATGTATACATATATATCATGTGGTTAAAAAAAGTTACTCTTATTTTCATGTTTTAGCACAGGTATGAGAATTAAAAGAAGCAAAAACGAAGGAAAAAAGGTTGCCACACGTTTTCAGAACAATAGGCAAATATGAATCATCACTGTAATAGTTACGTCTCTGTTTCGTATCGCCATCACATGCACGTTTTAACCTTCAGCCTTCAATAGCTACATATAACATTAGTTTTACTTAAACTTTATTTATTAATTTCACTTTATTATAAACTAAGTTTATAAACTAAGTTTGTATGAAATAGCAGTGGCTAAGATCTTTCCCCTAACAATCAGGTAGATGAAAGAAATAAACGTCGACTTCCAACACTAATCGGCAAATATTGCTTTAAGCTCAGGAGATTTAAAATTAAATTAGAACTAAGAGAAATTATATTTCTTTTATAGAGTAGCATATTTATTTAAGGCTTAGTTAACCTATATGATTTCTAAATAACTGAAACTCCTAATCCAGTAGGTTACCTTTTTATAGTACAACATGTTAAACACAAAGACGTTGATTTATTCATTCTTAACCTTCAAACAAGGTCGCGGAATTGATCTGATGGTATAATGTGACTTTCTTTATTTATAACTTTGAAGGGTTCTTTAAAATATGTACTGTGTTTAAAAAAGTATTGTATTTTATAGTATTTTCCTTATTACTCATGCTAATGATATTCTCACTGGGCAAATTTATTTCACTAGCTTCAAAAAAATGTAAGTAATTTAATATTTTGTAATAAAATTTAAACCCTGGAATATTAATTTTTGACATTTTCAGGCTTCAGTCGAACACTACTTACAAACAAACAGTCCTTTTTTGAATGTGACTTTCTATACTTACTCATTTTGGGCATAAAAATATTTTTGTCTTCATTGCAGTGTTTAACATACTAATCACTTAATGTCCTGATAAAATGGAAATTTGACTGATGCATTTGCGTTTCATAGCATACACAACATCAGTTGCAGAAACAGTTTTCCTCTCTGTATGCTCAGTGTATATCCCATTGTCACGAATAACATTCTCCAAAAGTACCTTGAGAAAACCACAAGTCTCTTTGTAGATCAAGCTTGAGATGTATTTCACACCACCATCACGACAAGCTTGATGGTGGATAGCGAGCTTTGTGATACCTTCAGTGTTGTCAAAGGGTTTAGTTTCTTCTTTTGCCCAATCTCTCATCATCTCTGCAGGGACTAGGCATGACTCGAAGTTAATTGCTAAAAACCGATAGAAGTTGTAAAAAGTACTGTTTTGAAACACTGTTCACGACAACAGCAAAACATAATGCAAGTGCACCTAACTGACTTATCCATGTGGAAGGGAGACATGCATCCTTGAAATAACAGTAAACAAAGGGTTCCAGACTAAAAGACCCTGAATAAGTAAATGTTTGCGCCACTAAGCTAGCTTCACTCAAGCTGCTAAAAGAGTTATACTAAACTTCTGCATTACATAAGAAAGAAATTCAAATGTAATTGCTCAACTATGTATTTATTATAAAATTTCATCAAAGAATCATCACAGTCACAGAATACAATTAAGAATATCATTTTCCAATAAATAATACATTTTAGGGAAATCAGATTTCACTTGATCGAAGAAATATCTTTAAAACTTTTAACATTTGCATAATAGTGTTTATTTTTTCTGTAAACGTTTTAAAATAAGGACGCTAACTGAAATGTGTTCTTCACTAAGAAATTTAAAATAAAACTATTGTAAAAAATTCCCTGAGTGTAAGTTTGTAGATATGTTTGCGCAACGAAAATGAATCATGGTTCTAACTCAAGGATAAGTGAAAAACTTTACATCAGACTCAGACACGTCGAATAGAAAAATTAGCAAAACAAGCATTATACACGTCAAAATTCAGACTAATACAAAATACATAAAAATGATCGTTGGATATTAGAAGAAAGACTTCGATGTTTTTCTTTGTTCTATAGCTTTTTCATCCATAATAACGCGTCAGTTTGTTTTCACACTGTGTTGACTTCGTCACCATCGCTAGGATTAACTCTCAGCTTTTGACACAAGTTTGTGCAGCAGTAGCAATCCACCTTTTTATTCATTTTCTTATCTTGCAGAAAGACCGCAAATAGAAATGCTGTGCGTGGGGAAGGAAAAAAACAAAACGCTAAAGTTTATTGTATAAGAATTTTACAACACTGCACAAATATATGATTCATTTTTCATTATTCCACTGGTTAACTCAGACTTTTAAAATTCCAGACTTGCTGACTACTTAATCATTACTATCATGTAATCATCAGGACTTCCAGAAAGTGAATAAGACTCTATTGTTAATTCAAAATAGTATGAATGATATTTATTTAATAATACATCATCATTAAGTGTTGAACTTTAAGCAACCGACACATTTAACGTGGATTTCGTCACGAACCAACTTCATTTAGAGAGACCACTGAAGACCAGGGGCACTGGACAGCTATTTCGTCAGCAGTGTAAACCAACAACCCTACCAGCGATTAAACTTGTGGCCGTCTCAAAATAATTTGAAACAGCTGCCCAGTGCACCTTAGCTTTCGATGATCGCTAAGAGATTTTGGTTCGTGAAGAATTCTACATTGAAATTAATCCAAATCCCCCACAGAAATCCATAAACAAAACAAGCAGTAATGATGGTTGCTATTAAATATATGTTATTTTCGAATTTCAGGATGAAAATTTCAACAATGATGTCGTTTATTTGTAAAGGTGTAGTGTATCATATCCTCTAAATGATACAGCCTTTAAACTATCACGATTATTCGTCGTAGATGATAACAAAAAGTGACGAAATATTCCTTTTGTATTGATATGTAAACTGATATTATTAAAAGCTGAATTAGCGATGTTTAAATAGCCATAACAGGCAAGTGGAATGTCTGTTGTTTTGTATTAAAAGATGCATCAATTACACACAGAGGTTCATAGTAATATTTACCTTCACTACACAAAAAACAAATATTATGTCTTTATCAAGTTTTAAGTGATTAATCATCTTGCCTGAAATCTTAGGCTTATTTATTTCTACCTACTTATTTGAAAATATTATGTTATATCTCCTCAGTTTCGCGAAGAAGTAAGCAACAAAATTCAATTTTTTGGGAGCTTACCGAGTAAACACACGCCTCCACAAGCGGAAAAATTCAATAAGTAGATGTTAGATGAAGATATAAACATTGTGACGACAGCGCAAAGAATACTTCCAACTGTCTGGAAAAGTAACAACGTGGGGCAAATTAGTGGGTTAACAACGAGATAGAAATAAAACCATCATATTTCAACAGTAAAACAGCAAAAAGCCTCTAATTTCCTTCGACTTATGAGTTAACTTACGTCAGCTGACTGAGGCTTGAAGTAAATAATTACCTATTTGTGTCGTTACACTTATGGATAACCTCGTAAAAGTTAAAGAAATATTTTCAGTTAGCGAAAAATTCCTTTTTACGAATTCATCTTAGTATGACTGCCCAGCTGGTTGTTTTTGGTCGTCTGTTATCTATAATGAAATAATGAAGGGAGTAATGTACGTCATTCGTCTGTATTAAAACGTTCCCAACAAATTACAAAGTTAACAGATTTAGGATTTCTTAGTTCACGATCTGCTAAAAATAATTTCCTTAAGAATAACTGTATACCGTCTATTAAGATGATAGTTAGAAAGTTACAAGGTCAATAAATTAGGCAATTAAATGTCATGTTTTACACCTGTACGCTGGCTACTCATTTCGTTAATAATCAATTTGTTTGTGATACATAGTAAGTCACATTACTGAACAAAAACATTTCACTTGAAATGTACAAAACATCTTAGAAAGGTTCTGCTGTGGCTAATTGTTTAAAAATGACAGTGTTTTCAGCTAATAACACTTTCGAATACTATCTATTTTCTTCGCTCCTTACCCATTTCAACAGAATCATTACAGTGGTTAAAATAATGTCTTCTAATAAGACTATGGTCCACAAGTTACTATTTATAAGTGCTAATGTGGTAAACTGATAAATATTTCGGATTCAGCATTAATTATAACTGCAAAACTGATGCACCCATTATATCTTATTTTATAGTAAAAAATATTTTACTTACAAATCCAGTGAAGACTATACCATAGTTTGTAGGGAAGTATTTAGGACCAAATATCAATCCTGTTCCACCAGGCATGATAACAAACATACCGCTTAAAACCAAAAACAGAAGCCAAACCCAAATAGCATATAAAGCTTTCAGTGCCAGCGGTGGTGCTGATCCGATGTGTGGGAAGGTGAAGAGAATCAGAGCCCAGAGTAATAATACAATGCACATCGGCAACTGGAGAACAAGCATAAATAAGTATAAGAAAGAGCTGTTGTTCAGAAAGTAATAAAACATAAAAAGAACAAAATGGCTTACGTTATCAAAATGTTTATTGAATGAACATATTTACTACAAAAGTGAGTTATTTCCTTTTAATAACAAAGAATCACTCTTATGAATCAGCATAGTGAGGCAAAATTCATTCTGAAGAGCAAAACACTTCACTATATTCTTCTAGACTCGAAAACAGCACATGAGATATACTTTTCTTAACTCCAGTAGTTAGTTTTTATAGACCTTTATAACTTTTCAGAAAGTAATCAATACATTAACCATCTCATTAAAGCTTTACTGAACTAACATATTAAGTAAAAAGCGCAATTTACAGGAGAAATAGCAAATTTTAATTTTGAATAGCAAATATTTAAAATCAGAAATATGTCAAATGTTTTCATTATGTAAAACCAAGATCTTGATAGCTTTGCAAACTGTTTCGACACTGGACCATAGCAATAAAATAAAATTTCCTTCTTCTAGTAACAGCAGTAACAGTTTGTGTTCATATTATATGGATTGCGTTGGTTTTAGGGTGGTCTTTAAAGCTAATCAACTCCGATTAACTCACCGCTGAAAGCCATAATAATCTGCATATCTGTTTCATCCTATTTAAAGAGTCATCAATTCATTCTTAAATAATATCAATACTTTTGTAATACAGCTGACAAAATGAAATAACCGGAAGTAAACAAACGAAAATTTTGCTCATCAAAGGTACGGAGATAAACTGGTAAACACACAAGTTCGTGAATACATGATAGGGAACTATTTGTACTGCTCCTTTCTTCCACATTTTACCCTAAAGTGTCTGAGAAAAATAGCTGTAAATAATATGCCAGTAACTATAATCCCTTAAACAGTAATATCACTTTTCATCTAATACTCCAGTTTTCTTCAGTTGAAATTAGAGTGCATGAAATTTTTTGACTAATTTAACTATAGAACCTAATGAGTGATATTCATCGAATAAAATATTCAGTAAGCTGTATAATAACACTTCAATAAGGTATATGAATAACGGACTAGACTAGCATGAAGTAAAAATAAAGTTTTAGTTTCATGGGTTTATTTCTTTGGATGAAACACGTATCATATAATCAGTTAAACGATGTTTCTCAACAAAGTGATAGAAATAGAGTTTGTATCAAAAAGGTGCGTTATTTCTTTTCTCTGGGCTTCTGCTTGTCTTCAATCAGCCTAAGCTGTGTATAATATGAATAGTGTCACACACGTATTTCTCCAGATGTTGGATTTGTAGCGATTAGATTGATTCTGCCGTAAGTACGCCACTGAGTAAAAGGAAGCAGCCGGTCACTGCTTCTAAATTCTGAGTGTTTCTCTAACTAATATCAGTTTGCAACGAAGCCTACCTTAAGATATAAATTTCTTACTAGGCCTAAACTAAGCACAGAAAGCGAAAATTATCACAACAGCGATGGAATAACACAGGAGGTAAAATGAACAATTCCGAATATGTATTATATCACCTTTAAAAGATGTGCTTCATCTGAAGCCAGTTCTCAGCCTTGCATTAAGGGAAAGCTTCATTTAATAAGGTGCCATAAACTTCACTATTTGGTGTTAAAGATGTGCTGAAAATATTTGGTAGCTTCCTAGAGGTAGACTTCATCTAGAAACAATATTTGTTAACAAAGAGATCCCATACTATAACAAGCAGTTTACTCTCTCTTATTAAGTGAACTGTTCACATTCGCAATAGTTTAGATGACTTATTATTTAAACATTACCTTGAAAGAAACTCGATCTACTATTGCACCCCACATAATTCTGCCACCAGCATTAAAAATTGCTGACACACTGGCAACCATAGATAAGTACTGATCATCACTGATGTATTTTTGTCCAAAAAGCTATAAAAAAGAGAGAAATTTAATTTTTATAGTACACGTATTTTAACAGTGAATCCATTCATGTATGTCTTTTCATTGATATAATCTACATGCATGCTTCTGTGATAAAATTTATTGCAATTTATACGAAAACGATGGTTGACATCATAGTTCCATGTAATTAAATTTACACTCCTTCTTAAGTAGAAAACACAACCTTTCAACCTAAGACGAGACTTCGTTTACCAGCAGTTTTGGTTTCACTTTCTTACAGACAGTGCTACCTCATGATCTATTCGAATCATTTCAAAGTTGCATTGTTTTTGTAAAAGCAATATTTTTGTTAGCCAACGCTTTAGCCGCGTATTGTGAATTATTGCTATTGGGAGTAGATTCGATTTCCAGTCTTTGGAGTAAACCATAGACTATACTTCACTGATTCAACTATATAGTTCAGTTCACTAATGTCTGTTCGTATTGCCCCGAGAGTACTGTTTTTCTTGTTCTTCTGTTTTCAGGTTTATTCACAAAGAAGAACATTAAGAGATACTTCAATGAATATCTTGACTTCTAATCAAGCTTACTTTTTGAACTGAATTTATACATTACTGTAATATTCCCAAATGATGGTTTATAGAACTCAGAGATGCCAAAACTTGTTTAAAATAGTTGCCTAATCTGCGTGTAAACTGACATATGTAAGTATATTTGATGGTTAGCCTTTTGCAATTAATATAAAAATCAAGAACAACTCTAGTTTGCACAGATTCGAAAAATGTTTATAAGAGGTATTCTGTGGTGTCTGAGGTAGAGTAACGAGTTGTCACATTAGAAACATTCTAAGATCAAATAAAAGATAAGTATTTAGTGAAGTAGGAAGAAATAGAAGTTAAACAAACTTTCCACTAACCTTGTATGCTGATGTTATGACTGTAATAGGTATGATGATTAGAAACATTATTATCCATAATAAATAGAAGTCGATTTTCCGGAAAATTCTTTTTGGTGGTACATTAATTTGACTAAAATATAACAGAAATATTGACTAAATGTACTGGTGGTACCACGTGAGTATAAAAATTATTAAAAAATAAGTGTGTGTTTGCTGATGTAGTAGAAATTCTCATGCATTGATTATGTCAGTTTGTGGAATGTATTAAACAGATTTGATGAAACTATTGTTTGTTCTAACCCCTAAGATATACTCGATGATTTTTCAGCTTTGTCTGAAAAATGTCTCTGTTAGCGGATTAATTTTCTGACTCCACTTTATGACCCATAAACCTATGGCCAAATATTTTTCGTGTTTTACGATTTCTGATTCACATCTTGATAGCGTATGATGACTTTGTAATGGCTATTGAAACGTATTGTTATGAAGAGTTCTTCCTTTTACTTTGGATGTTTTCTATTTTGCGGACAAAGCCTATCAGAAAGTTACTCATAAAAAAATCGATAATGCTGTCCAGTTTCTCTTCTTGCGCATTCTAAAAACACACAGTTGTATCTAAACGAACGAAAATATTCATCGGTGACACAGTCTGAGTAATTAATAACTTGAGATATCATAAAGTTATTTGACTCTGACGTCACAATCTGAAGAATAAGACTTTACCTTTACATGATAGTCTATACAGAAATAAGTTATATTACTGTTTCATCTAACTTCCTATTATCTTAGCTAAATATTTTGCAAATAAGCATTAGAAAATTTTAAAAAATGCTACATGAATGAACTTTTTAAGAAACAACAGTGTAAATTAGCCGAGATTTAGAATAATTAATCACAAAAGTAGTATAGAATTGATTATACTAATCATGGAGGATCATATACAAGAATAAGTAATACTGATAGAAAAACTCACTCCTTTGCTGCTTCCTGTTCACCAGGTTTATTCTGAAAGATCATGTAAACAAACATATTACTCAATATTATATAGTTGTAGTGAATAAGGTTTCACTTGCTTTATATTATACATATATATATACATATAATTAGTTGTTTCTGTGTAGTCTAGAAATAGTTCCTCAAAAATAAGGTTTGCGGTAGCCACTTCTGATAATTGAATTATTGACGAAATATAAGAATGATGCTTTTCTTTATCCAGAGAGATACACGAAAGATGTCAGAAAAAAATGATACCAGAGGAGGTGAACGTCACTTTTCTTAGTAATGGAAACAGGCTTAATTAATAAGTTTCTCAGTGATTCATGTAGAGTCGTTTGAAAAGATTTTTGCTTATATTCTCAGTTTTACTAATTAAAATGCATATGCTGATCACATACATACATACCAGTTTGTTTAAATTACTGTCTCAGCAGAATGTGTCAAACACATCCTTATAGGTTCCAGTCTTACTTTATACAACAGACAGAAACAGTAATTTTCTGTAATTTACCCTACAGATGATGAATAAATGAGTTTTGAAAGTAGTCGTGCGATTAACTTGATCTGTTGTTGTTCACTGTTTATGCTATTACATGAACATAACAATCATAGGTTCAATCACTATTTATTATTATTGGTATACTTTTCACTCAACTAATGTCTATAGTAATTTTTGATTCACATCAGTCTGCCGACCCAAATAGAGTTGAAAACTCACTTATTTATTTGTTCTCCTTTAAGTCTTATAGAAGAGAATATGCATCGACCACTGGAAAAATGAAAATGATATTCGCAAATTTCTCACTGTTTGAAGAATTATCAAGTATATTTGCACTCGAATCAATAATATCTCAATTTTCTATAGTTTGGTTTGTAAGGGTTTGTTGTGTTTTTACGAGTTGATCACGGACTGATATCAGTTAGAGAACCATTGAAAACCAGGGAGTACTGGACAGCTACTGTTTCATCCTAGTTTGGGAATCATCGGGAGTACGCACCCACTGGGATTAGAACCCAGGACCTTTCGGTTACAAGGCAAGCTCGTATACCATTCAGCCACTGGGACCCGATTCAATGGCTCATGAATTCTAACTTCTACCAATTCGTGATTTAGCGCGACCCCAACCATTGTTGTTGGTGGGACATCCATCCACACACGTGACATCTAATTGGACCTCACTGGTCACGACTTCTCACTAGAACTCCAGGAAACTCCATCCTTTAGCAAGTCACTAGCGAGTTTCCTGGAGTTCTAGTGAGAAGTCGTGACCAGTGAGGTCCAATTAGATGTCACGTGTGTGGATGGATGTCCCACCAACAACAATGGTTGGGGTCGCGCTAAATCACGAATTGGTAGAAGTTAGAATTCATGAGCCATTGAATCGGGTCCCAGTGGCTGAATGGTATACGAGCTTGCCTTGTAACCGGAAGGTCCTGGGTTCTAATCCCAGTGGGTGCGTACTCCCGATGATTCCCAAACTAGGATGAAACAGTAGCTGTCCAGTACTCCCTGGTTTTCAATGGTTCTCTAACTGATATCAGTCCGTGATCAACTCGTAAAAATATCTTAATTGAAAATTTTGCGCAATATAGGCATGTTAGATTGCACCTTAGTTCCAGGATAATCATTATCGAGAAAGCAACCAGTGGGCATAACGTTTGATGCATCAGAATATATAAAATATCAATAAATTGTCTACTTACTTTCTGTTTTTTCTCACTCATAAGGAGAAAACCGATTACTTGTGCCGCGAATAATATTCCACCCAAAATGAGCAATGCATTAGGAATACGACGCAGGACATCAGGGTCATCAAAGAGCCTTTGTTTTTAAAAAAGTGATAAAAAACGAATGGTGTTAGTAGAAAAGAGCCGTTGTGAAGCTGATACACATCATAACTGGGTAAAATAGAAGCTCTTCACCAGTAATGAATAAATCAAAGGTTCATTTGCTGTTGCTTTCCGAAGAAACACGAGTTAGTTAGCACCCCTTGATCTTCTGTAACTTCCCTGAGTCTCCATTAAAAGTGATGGTTACATCATACATCTGAATAATGCTTTGTTTTAAATACACGATACAGTGGCATGATTATCTTTAGTTTTAAAAGTGAAACAATTTTGATCATTGATACTTCTTCTAACATGTCCTAAACTAAATCCTTGCGAACGTTCTAATTAAGGTGCCCTATCCCTAAACTTATCTATATTAATACAGTGACATCAGTTTGATCATACATACATTTCAAATTAAGCATATGGGAAATCCTTACCAAAAACCCCGAAATCATTTTCACTGAAATTGTCTATGAAAAAATTTGTGTTTCAAATTAACCTGAATATGAGCAAAAGTAAGACAACTGTATCTTATCAAACTCTCAGCATTTGGTATTCTGTTTTCATGATATTTTCATATATGGTAAGACAAAAGTTGTAATCTGATCCCAAAGTTCTCTTGTGTAACTAAGACACTATTGGTGGATTGTTTTCTGTGAATATAAAAGGTAGTTTTATAGGTTCTCATTGATTAAATGAAATACGTTTCTACAATCTGGTTGGACAAATCATGCTGCACAGTTTACACGCCTCTTGATAGATAGGCATATGTCATACCTGCAACAAAGATGACAAGAGTTAAAAGCAGCCAAGCAAAGCTTCGGTAGCCTTGTTGACACTTTTAAGTAATTAGGCCATTATTACCGACGCGACCTCCCACATACATAAAGTGAGCATTACGCGCAAATATTCACTCAGGATTCTTAAACTAGCTACGAACTAGTACAATATTGTCATGTTAGATTAGACAGAGGCCAAATTGCTGCTTAAGATGCTTGGAACACTGCTCAGTCTGGTGACGTCTACACCGAAAAGGCCAGCATTATCTGGACTATGCAGACCGAATAGACTCCTTCCATGGTAGTAAGTCAGTCACTGAAAAACAGAAGTCATAGAGTGTCATACCAATAAGTACACCATGCACTGCGGAACAGGCAGCGCCTTTGTTTTTATAATGTAGTAAATTTGAAGCTTCTCAAATAAACTTACCTCTGCAGTATCGTCCATGGAACTGCAAACAAAACCACCAAAACAAGCCATTTCAGACGAGATTGGTAGTTTCCATGTGCTCACTCACGTCCCTATAGCTGGTATAACTTTGAGCAGCGTGAACTCTTGTCTTACATATAATTTGTGGGTTGGCATCAAGTGATTTACTATTTTCAACTTTGGAAAAACTTCTGCTGACAGGTTTTGCTACAGTAGTTGTTGAGTCATTCCAAAAGTCGTTTTCATGAGATAAATCATGCCATGGATTGATTTAACAAATATTACTTATATTCACTTATGGTACACTACAAAATCACTCGTTTTATAAAAGCTTCTTAGACGCGCAGCAAATATATATGACTGTAAAGTTAAATTTATGATAGATGAAAAATTTGATGAGAGTTAATGGAATTTTTGTCATGATCCCGAAAAGGTATTTTGTTGGAGCAATGATGTTTTCACCACATTCACTTCATCTAAAAGGTTGATAAAAGTCTCAAAAGTTTAATGGACAAACTCACTGTGTGTTTTTGTTGACAGGAACGTTATTCGGGTTGATAATAGCTGTTTGAATAGGTGTAAAAACAAGCGCTCCCAATCCAAATCCACCAACAACTAGACCTACGACCAGAAATCGTCGTTTGGGAAACCACTAAAATATGAATCAGAGAAGATAAATAGTAATAACGATAAATACAGGCATCGGGAAGAATATAAGGGGTGTATGAAACAGCGACACTTTAACTGAGCAATTTCAAACCTGGCTACATTAAATTACAATATATCAGGTTCAAAAGGATCATATAATTACATTTATTATTCTGAAACGCCAAGATGACCAAGTTACTGCTCTGTCATATATAATACTAATTCAAGGTAAATACTGCTGAATATTTGTGCTTAAATTCAACTGTTGCTTTGGTGGTTCGGCGGTAGAATGCCCGCCAACCATGCATGTGTTTCGGGGTTCGATATCCGGCCGAAGTACTTTGAAACCTCACTAAGTCAATAGTAAGGCCAATAAAGAGGAAAATCTGGGTATGAGGCTACTACTTATACTCCGGAAAATATAACACCTGCTACCGAAATTTCAAGGCTCTAGTTTGAAGCCCTATGTTCCACTCGGAACATAAAGGAATAAAATATGAAAAATGCATTCAACTGTAGCCCATACGTTTGTGTGCATCACTGCTATTTTATATTTGTTATTAACCGTTCTCTTAGATCTTCCTCCTACAGACTTAATTAAAGAAAGCCGTACTGACATTTTCAGTGGTTTTAACTTTGTATTTAATTATTTCCGAATGATGACGCTTTGTATCCATAGTAATTCAAAGTAACTGTGACTGTCTGGTTTTGTGACTAACCAAGACTGAGTGTTTCTGTCTTTAGCTTTAGCTCAGGTTTAATTTTGAAATCCCTCGTAAATTATGTGACCTGTAATCAATAAATGTTTCTGTGGACTTATTGTCACTTGAGCCTACTAAGTTAATCTTGAGGTTTTCTTTCGAAAACTTAAAATTTGAACCTTGTTATAATGAGGTATTTTACAGCTGGAAGCACGCTGTGTTCATTTAGCGTATGACATAGGTTATATCAGGAGACTGAGAAATTCTATCACTCCGACATCTACGAGCGCTACAACTGATTACATGATTTTCGCGTCCACTCTTCTGTGTTACAGTCGATTAAAAACAATAAAAGTGGCAAGTCTTACTTTAGCTGCTACAGCCATCACTACCGAGTATCCAAACCCAAGACCCAAACCCATGAGCACTGAATACGTTATAATTACGCCAATATATGACTTCTGAATTGTAATGTATGTTAAAAAGACACTTCCACTGGAATAAGAACAGAAATAGTATATAAAGGCAAATTATTTGTCAAAAGTGTGTAAGTACGTCATTAAATAGCTGCTTTCTATTTCTAAAGTGATCAGCCGATGCATTATTTCAGTCTATTAATTTGCAATTTTCAGCTCAGTGAACAACTGGTAAAATCTGACTCTTGTGTTTGTCATCTTTCCAATGTGATAATGAAACTCAAAATCCTAGTTCTTAAATGGAAATACTATTTTTCTGGTCTCCTCAAGTGTCATTGAGAAAAATTTAAATTAAAGATTGTAAAACAAATTTGAGTATTCCAAACACTACTCATCGCACAGATGACCCCTATACATTACTGAATGCTGTTTACCTAACTCAAAACGAACCAAATCATATCATAAGGGATAATGAGTCTATATAAATTGAATAAATTATAAACGTCTTCACACATCAGAAATCTAAACTCAGCTGAAAAAGGGATCATCTCTGCACAAACTAAGTTGTCCAATTTTTATAGTTTGGATAAAAATTTGTTGTCACATTACTGACTTAGGTAAGCTGAATCCAAAAAAAATAACTCTTGTCCTTCTCCTGCTTGTAGTCGCCTATTTTCTGATTATTTTCTTTTGCACCCACTGACTGACAGTCATTTCTGACATTTTCTTATGACGCCTTTTAGTTTTATATTCTTTGTCTGTTCCATATTTGGGGGCACAATGGCCATAAAACTTCGTTAAGTAACCCCATAGATCCATCAGGTTTTAATCTTCCGAGATGCATGAATGCACAGTTGAAAGCCACTGTCTCAGATTAGAATTAAATCTGTGGAATTTCCTACCTACAATGAGCTTCTACAACATCCTACTCACCTGGAAAATGTATACAAAATCTTTGTGATTAATATAAGTTCAGTTGTCTGTTATCTTTTATTTGAATCGCTGAAAGTGATTCAAGTTTACTACTCAAACATGTATCACCAGTGAATAAAAAATGTAATGTTGAGAAATTCTAAGTAACAGACTCAAGAGAATAATGCAATAAGTCTACAGGCATTGTAAATCGAGTGGGTCTTCAGTTCATATCAGGTCCCAAATCATATTACACTTAAAAACTGTTAGAAAAATAATGAAACGTGCCTGTGAAGAATACAGCTTATTGACACAACCACACGAAAACCAGCTTTTGCATGCACAATACCGCCGAGTGCCATAGTTGCACCTTGGCAAGCCAGAGCCAATGCTGAGAGCCAAACAGATGTCTTAGTTTCAATATTTGGGTCAACGTATGCTTTGATATAGCTAAGAATATATGGAACCATATTTGCTGACAAAAGAATAAATAAATTAAGAGGGAAAAAAACCTATTGTGTAGAAGTATCCGAAAGTCATATGAATAAGAACTGCTCCAATAATGCACAAAGTTCCCATCAACAGATTCTTTTTCTTCCGCTCCTAAATAATTTTTTGGTATGAAATTAAATAAAATGAAGCCAATACCATATTGAGCTTGAGTTTTGGACATTTTAACACCATGTTTCTTATCGCGCAGTAACAAAAACTACAAATTACAGTAACGCATGTTCTTAAATACGAGAGTAAATAATAACAATCACGTTGAATTATTAAAACAAAACTGGTGTTTGTCAGTAAAATTCTCTCGTGGTTGAGATGCTTCGGCCAGCAATCGCGTATTAATATTTTCACCTAAAGCAAGTACTCCCCATACCTTTAGATGCCTTTAGTAGGAAGTATATGATAACGGCTTCCAATATCCAATATTGTTTTTGACGAGCTGGTGCAAACAAGTTTAATTTATTTGTGTTCGCCTCTAGGTTGTGAGGTAGAGGTTCCTGGTCTTCAGTCAACAGGGTATGAGATTTTAAGGGGATAAGCCGCAGTCATTGTGTAGCTGAAGTTTTGTTCAGCCTCTACTTAAAGCTGTCCACGTATGGTTGCATAGTTACATTCACTGGTGAAGAGTTTCAGGTACAGCAAACTAGCAGTAAAAAGGATGGAAGTGCACTCTACTTTTCGACTTCTAGTGAGTTATTTTTGATGGATTACCACGAGGAAGTTCATACCTACTTAATTTCAGAACGCTTTTGTTTGGGTGATTCTGGTTATTTGTTATTTCATAGGCAGTAATGAGGCCCCCCTAAGCCAACCGCAGCTAATTCTGAATAGATCTAATTTCTTGGGTCGTTCATCATATATTTTGTTTCAGAGAACCATCATGTCTTTTGTCTCGCGTCTTAGGACTTTTTCCAAATGGTTTGCGTCCCTTCAAAGCAGTAGGCTGCAGTGATGTTGTGCACTTTAAGGTGTGGTCTGACTAATGTTTTGTACAACCTCGGAAAGAGCTCAGGAGTGAGTGCACCTAAGTGTCTGTGTATAAAGTGTATGACCTCAGATACCCTCACTACATCCACTTATAATTCACACTTGTGTCCATTTTTTCCGTTAGAACTAGACCTAAGTCACGCTCTGGCATTGCACAGGACAAGTTTTCACTGACAGAGTGTAACTTGCATCCTGCAGTCTACAGTTGCGTAATTTGATTTCTTTGCACATTTTCAAGTCAAAAGTCATTGGCCACCACCCAGTCTTCTAAAAATTTTAGGTCTGCCTGCAGACTATCTGAGTCTTTCGAGCACTTTGTCATCTTCCAAATCTTTACGTCGTCAGCAAAAGGAAGAGTCGGGCAGCCTAGACGGCATGGTAGGTTATTGATAAAAATCAAAATCATCAGCGGCCCTAGGATAGAGCTTTGTGATACTTCTGATGACAACCTGTGCCAGGATGATCGGACACGATTGACCTTAATGCAGAACTTCCCTTCATCTGGGTAGTCCTCCAACCATGACAGAAGCAGCACACCTATACCTGCTCGACTTATTTTGTGTAGGAGAAGGTCACGGCACACTGTGTAGAATGCCATCTCAAAGTCTAGGAAGGTAACATGGACTGGAATATTCATATCCCAGCGTGATGTCCAATCGTTTCAAGCTGATAGTAAGTTTGTTACATAGGATCTGCCTCTCCCGAAACTTCGTTATGCTCCATGGAGTCTATTAGTCATGTCAAGGAGTTCCCTGATGTGATCATCAATTATAATTTCCAGTACTCTTGATACCACTAGGGGTAGCGCTACTGGTCTGTAACTGGTGACATTTTACCTGTCCTTACTCTTCAAAATAGCAGAAGGGATGGCTCTTTTTCACTCATTTGGCAGTCTCACTGAGTCCATAGAGTGATGGAACTAGTCACATAAAGGCCTCCAGAGAGGTTATACGCATCAATTCGTAACAGATGATCTGGAGTCATCACAACCTACGGACGTTTCAGATATGAATCTCTGTAACTTCCCTACTTCCTTTGCCGAGTTTACTTGGGGCGTAGCCACTAGGTTTTCCCTAGTTTTCACCCCTTTTTTGCCAATACGGGTAAAACTCATATTACTGCTTAACTGTTTGGCAAGGGCTTAACTGAATGTTTCAGGCATCTCCAAATTAGTGAGACATTGACCGTTTGCACCTACTAAGGTGCATGCCTCTAGTTGATTATTTTCTCTCCAGCACGAATAGGTACAGGGTTTCGGGGTACGACAGAAGTGTTTTGCAAGGCTTGCCTAAAATGACCTCCTGTTACTCCTGACCCTTGTGCTGAACCGGTTCCGGAATTCCAGGTATGCATAGCGGTCTGTCTGACCTTTGGATGTTCGTCATGTAGACCAAGCCTTCCTCCTGGCTTGCAGAATACGTTACGTAACTCCCTTCGGCTATGAAGACTTTTTCTTTGGCTATGTTGTAACTAGAGGGATGGTATCTGAAAGTGCACTGTGAATAATCACTTTTGCCACTTCCTAGTGTTCGTCCATGGGTAACCCAGCCCATTCTATGGGCTACTATACATCGGACAAAAGTCTTCGCATTTTGGCATAGTTAGCTTTGCTACAGCAGAAACGCGGTTGCGTACCGTCCCAATGTGGGCGATCATGGAAAACAAGGTCAAACCCAATGACGAGTGGTCACTACTTCCTAGGGTGGTCATGACTTGGACCAATAGCTGGTCATTGGTTAGAATATAACCTAGTTTCGATGACTTTCCACTAGGTCCCCACATAGTGTCGTCTCCAGAGCTTTCAGTTAGTCCTGGATTTCTTTTGGTTTGTAGTAGATTTTAGCAGCACTTTCCCTGAGCATAACACCAACCAAGGTTCAGAGATGGGGCGTCGATGTCCCCAGCTGTAGTGATTTGATCATAACCCAAGTCCTGTATCTGTGTGATGATGCTGGGTAGTAGCTGGTTGTGCTCTGCGCACAGGTGGGTGATCAGCAGATGCCGTCCAGTATATGTTTGGTATGGCTCACGGTGAAGTGACGACATACAGAGTCTGAGAATTCAGAAGGTGGTGGGTCCATTGCACGTACGCACTTAAGTTGCTTGTCAAGTATATGTCAACTCCCCCTTTCTTGTTATCCCTGTTTCGCCTGACCAGAACCATAGCACTTATACTAATTTCGTTGCCAACAATAGTTCGGGTTAGCCAGATTTCAGTCGGGATTATTATTTTGAGGTGTGTGTGTGTGGAGTTTTTTGAGTCCACTTACTTCTCCTCTCAGCCCTCTAACACTGCTTCACAGGCAACTGACAGTCAATCTAACCACCTCAGTCTGTTGTGGGTTAGTTGACGCCACACTGACGTCTAGTTGAGGATTTAATATTGGGATTTGCTGGCCGTTCTTGATTGAACTGGCTTGTAGTCAGGTAATACTGATTAGGACATATACATATAGGCGAAACGCTGAATGACTGACTACAGTCACCTGCAGACCGAGAGAGAAGAGGAGGATAGTGAAGCGGAAGATGAACCAGCAAAGAGACGAGCGAAGTAAGTATAAGCTTGATAAAATCTTGAACATACTGTAAATATGGGTAAAAGGGAATGCTTGGAGGGATGAAAGACACACTAGTAGCTCAAGCACAGCAAACTACAGGTATGGGGAGCAACGCAGGTAAACTTCAGAGAGCGCTATCTGGAATGAGATGAATACATATGCCGCGGTGGAAGATAAAGAGTGAAATGTGAATCAGCTGGGTACACTCATACATGTTGAACAGTGGCAGCCACAAGTCATTGTGAAGTGATTACCCCTCCACATAGTTAAGTTTAGTTCCCTCCTATAAGCTGGATAGGAAGCTGCGGAAGGGAAGGTTTCTGTAGATTAGAAGAACTGCTATCTTATCAAACTTAGATCTTTGAATATGCAGGAACTGGGATATCAACGTAATGTTGTTCACTTTGAGAAACCTAATTAGACCCCTTTTCCTATTAAGATTGAACGATAATAAAGTGGTTAATGCAGTCAACCAAAAGTCAGGCACACCATACCAATCGATAATGCAGTGGCAGAACATGGATAATTGTCAAAATAACTTTGTCAGTAACAATAAAAATTGCAGTACAAGAGAATCAGTCGAATAAGGACGACAGAACGAGCTAGGCTGCTTGGAACCGTTGGAAACCGTCTTCAAACCTAGCACCTTACTTCTCAAAACTTGGGTTCCTACAGTGACTTGGGTGGAAGATTTTGCGTGCAGCTGGCTGGATTCAAGCCAAACAAGACATACCAGAATCACGCTGCATACTGCGCGTCATCGTTGAATGAGAGCTAAAATGGCAGTTTGCTCTTCAACTTAACTTTATCGAATTTGAAGAAGTCTCCGACAGCTTCGACAGAGAAGTAATTTGGCGTTTGCTTCAGCGCTACAGAGTGCAGTGCTGCTGAATTTTACAGACCACTCTCACTCAGCTGAACATCACTTACGTTCTAGGGAGGCAAGGATGAATATGTTAAGACCAGATTTAGATAAGCAAGACAGACGCCAACTGCTTTATGATAGGTGTGGTAATTTTTATTTCCTGGCACAAGTAAGTTGATACGAAATGTTAACACTAATATCAAGTTAATGCTTCCATATGGTCCAGAGGATCGACGCCTGCGTCACCAAAAGAAGACTAAAGATAGACGCTTTAGAGGTAACATGACCAGTCAAAAAATGTAAGAAACAAGGGGTTCTTAAAGATAACTGAGTATCGAAGGTTTGCCGCCCGACAATTATATGCAGAAGGAAATGGAGATGGGTTCAACATATGCTGATGCGAATAATGAGTGATGCAACACTCCAGGTCCTCGAATATTCTCGTTTTTTATTTTATTCATTCGCATTCCGAGTAGAACATAGGACCCCAAGGCTAGGCTCTGTAGATTAATTAGCAGTGGGGATGCTAGCCTTGTGCCCAGCCTTTCCTCTGAATGGGTTTCACTATCAGCTACGCGAGATTTGAGAGTTTGTTGGCGGGGAATCGAACCTCAGACGTTGTATGTGATTAGTGTGTGTTCTACCACTAGACCACCAGATCTTTCGCAGAATCCTGAATGGAGCGCAACGAGTCGAGAGTATTACGGTGACATTGAGAAAACGACTTCTGGAAGAGACGGAAATTTCGAGCAGTCGTAGAAACATTTGAAAGTCGTGGCAGAGAACTAAGTGCAAATGAGACGTGCTGATGAGTCCATAGGTTCC